GCCCCTCATTTCTTTAAAAATAATCAGAACCCTCATCCAGTCTTTTTTTCCTCTCTTTATACCTCTGCTGTCTTATTTTTTTCAAATTCAAAACATCAGGCATGTTTCCCAAGGTACGGCCACACGTGCAGGAATTTCCATCGTACGTGCAGCGCAGGTTCCGTACATGCGGAAATGGGCCTCCGCAAGTGCAATTTCTTAGGCTTTGTTTAACTGTTGTTGGATGGGCCGCACATGCAAGAATGGTCTTCCGCACGTGCGGGAAGCATTTTTTTCTCCGAACTTCTATATTTTTGCTCATTTTATACTCCCACTGTATCCAACTTGATTGACATTAAACAGACATAAATTATATAATTTGAAAGCAAAGTAAGGTTAAGAGATTCTAGCTATCGGCCTCAGTGTTGTACAATTTGACCTCAATCAATTAGCAACTGGAAGTTTGGCTAGGGGACTTAGTATTTTGGTTATACTCATATACTGGGTGATGGGATTGAATGTGGATCAAAGAGTTGACCTTATTAGTCACTGATGGATGGAGATGTTGTGTTTCCTTATTGTTCGGTTTCGGTTATTACGTGATAACGGTGGCGTTGTAGTGTGGTAGGCTTTTGCGAGTTGGCTTGGCACGAGAGAATAAATATGTGAATTTCGTTGCTGTGAACTCGGTTGAGATTGTGAGTATATTGATAAAATAAGGGATTAGCGCTAAGATAACCCATTGGGGTTAAGAGTGAGATGTTGTGTAATAAGTAATGGGATTTCGCTTGTGTTGTGTGTAACAGTATATGGTTTGTGTGTTATTGTTAGATGATGTGTGGAAAGGGATTGGTCATGGGATGGTCCAAGGAGAGTGCCTCGATGAGGCAATAGCGTGGTTAATGTTCGGATTGAGTAGTTTAAGATCTAATGGTGCTGGGTCACTTTAGTGTGGCTGTTTGTTGTTTGGTTTGGAGAGTGGAACTCAGGGTGAAGTAGTAATATTGTGTGGAGTGATTGGTGCGCTCTGTTAGAGTTATTTTGACCTTATCACTCCTTGTGTGCATGGTGTGAAGTGTTGGTGTGTGCATTGACTTGAGGGTGTGTGTGTTGTGTTTTGAGAAGTCCAATTCAGACTCACATGTGATGTGAGGATGTGCATGCCATATAGGCATATGCATGATGGGTGAGTTAAGAATTAGGGTATTATGGTTTAACTATGAAGAATTCGGAGTGATTCAACGAGCATGGAAGGTTGTGTATGGAACTCTATTTCGGGGTTGGTGAGGTTGGGCAAGATGTTGGTATTGATGTTGAGTTAGGTGAGGTGTTTGGAGAATGGTACGGGATAGTGGTGTTAGATAGTTGATTGGTTGGTATTTGGGTTGGTTGACATGTAGTCACCTTGGGAATAGGTTGGAATTGAGGGCTATGTAATTGAATAGTGTCATGGTGTGGCATGTAAGTCCCGTATGGACGGTTGAGAAGTTGTTTCGAGTTTGTGGTAACCAGTTTGGGGTTACGATTTTACTACGCTTTTGCGTCATTATGTGATTGGTGGGTGTGAAATTTCTTTCTTTTGTGTTATTGCGTGCTAGCATTTTGGAAATTTCTAGGGATTCTTATCGTGGAAATTTGGTTTTAGTATTATGGCATCACCGTGAGTGTGATGGGTTTTGTTAGGTGACTATGTTGTGATTCACTAAAGGAATGCTAATGAATGATTTTGAGAAAAACAAAACTTTTGCTTTTTAGTGTTGTGGCCTTGGGTACTTTTCTTGAACTAAAACGATTTTGGGTTTGAAATGTAAGTTTTTGGTTTAATACAAAGCTGAATTTAAAAAATCAAAAAAAAAAAATATGAAACTGATTTTGGTGTTATGAGTAACACTTGTGGTTTTTAGAAAATCTGTTTGGAAATCTCTGGGTTTTGTTGTGGACGATTGAAAAATGCATTTGGATCGTGACGTTCCGGCTTGAACACCTTTTGGGAAAGCAAAGTGTTTTGAGATAAATGGGGAAAATAAGAAATTTTCTTTAACCTAAATGAGGTATCTTGTATCTTGTTTTTGGAAATAGTGTTTTGATCTAGCCTGAGTTGCTAGTTACATGTTGTATGTCTATTTTTGCAAAGACTTATAATTTTCGAGCATTGATAGGCCATAACATTGTTGATTGATTGTGTTTTATTAATGTCTCGAGTTATGAGAGAGTTGACTAGGAGCTTTGTATGCAAGGGGTTTTCTTATTCTTTGTGTCTGAGTGTTTGAGTACTTGGTGGTGATTTTGGGTGTTGTACGTGTTTCGGACGTAGTTGACGTCTTCGAGTCCTGGTGGCTATTGTTGTTGTGGTAGTTATTGCTTCTTGTCTCATAGACCATTACGAGTTATGTGGGTCGAAGAGGCATCCATGCCTATTCTTAGTATTTTGGTGTTCAGGTGTCTTTGGGGCCCCGAGGTGTTGGACCAAGATCCGGGAACGTATCCCCAGATGGATCTAAGCTTGGGTTAGGATTGTGTTTCTTTTATAGATTAGGTGGCCTTTTTGGTTTTGGCGTTTCTTCAATTTCGGGGATGAAATTCCTTAAAGTGGGAAGGTTATAGCGATTATGGTTTAGACCTGACCCGTTGATGTTTCGGATACAGGTTTCATTATTTTAAATGGTTGTTCATGTCTTATTTCTCCTTATTCCTTATTGAGTTTGGTTATTAGAGTGTATCGGTTGCATTTGGAACAGGTTGGTAGTTTGTTTTTCAAAACTGTTGTTGCCCAGAATTTGGCCTTTTCGCTCGAGCGGTGCTTCTTGCGCTTAAGCGGTCTTTGAGAACTCTCAGTATTTTTGTAGACCTGCAAAGATACTGGGAGTTGGCATTCTTTACTCAAGCGATGTTGGCCCAAGCGGTCCCACTTATTGTGTCTGGTCACTCGAGCGACACTTCTTGCACTTGAGCGGTCTGCGCATAAATCAGTTCATAAAAGTCACTTTTTGAGTCACTTTTTCATCTCTCTCTCTCTCTCTCTAGAAACCATCTCTAAACCTTATATACACCTTGATTCATTGATTTCTGCACTAGTGTCCCTTTGATTAAAAATGTAGAGCTCAGCGAGGGCTTCCTTTTAATCTGAGCGGATCGTCTCTTCATCGCTGGCAATTTTCTGGCTTGTCTCCTATTCGCTTCAAGAGGTAGGGTCTATTTCCTTAACTCAATATGAGTTCGGTAGTGTATTTGTGGCATATTTTGTTATTTGTATTCGGTAGTCTCTTGGTTGATTTTGAAATGTTATTTTGGGCTTGAGGGTTTTGTGAGATTTGGGGGTTTTGGGCCTATAGTTATGCTACTATGGTTTTTTTCGGTATGCAAATTGCATATGGATTTCTAAAAGTGGAAAAACCCCAATTTGGAGAAAAACCCTAAATGATATTATTTTGGGAGTTGGATTGATTTTTGGTAAATGATTTGGTTGGGAAAAAATGAAAAGGGGATGGTTGTTGGATTTTGAAACAATGGGTGTTATTACTCTTTTGAAAAAATATATTTGTATTGTTATCTTTTAATTATTGTATTAGAGATAATTGTTTTAGCTATCGATAGAGGATAGCATTGCCATGTGTTAGAAATTGCATGTGTATTAGGCAATTTGAAATCATTCATATCATGGAGCATGTAATGGATTTTGGAAATTGAAACAGTATGTTTTGGAAAGAGGTTTTGGAAATTCTTGTATTATGTTTTGGAATATTTACATTGTTTTGGAAAAACAATATTTTGGATCACATGCATTGTGCTACTAAAAGGGTAAATAAAATGGTGAAGTTGGGTAGGGGGTGTTAAAGTAGAATTAAGTTGACCTGTGTGTCCATGGTGTAAGACCTAAAACCCGCACGATAGGTGTCAAGCCTTCTGGGTAATACCGGTAAAATTGTGACTTGTACAGTTACTCGTATGAACACTAACCCTGGAGATTTACCTATTTTATTTATTATCATTTTGGTTTTGGAATATGATGTTTTGGAAATGGTTTTAGCAACGTATTTGCTTTTGTTTAGCAATGTATTCACATTTGATTTAGCAATGTATTTGTTGGTTGGTATTGAGATACCTGGATTGGTTTTTGGAAAGGGATTTTATATCAAACAGATGTTTTGAACCTAGAAAATGTTTTGATTAAACGTAAGGTTTTGATAATTGGAAAGAAAGGATTTTGTTGAGAAGTCAAATGGATTGGAAAATGCATTTGGGCATATTGTATATATGTATTGCATCATGATCATTTATGCTGGTGGAGCATGTTTAGTTTTTATAATATTCGCTACTGGGCTTTATGCTCACCCTACTTAGCTGAAAATGTTGTTCAAGTGTGCTTATGTGGTTGCGGACTAAGACATTGAAGTTGTGTTTAGAACCGAGTAGGGTGATTCTTTTATTTGTAGGTCATGGGCCATTTATGTTATTTATTGGCCGTGTGCCATTTTTATAAGGGTTACACCCTCTGTATATGATATAAGTCTTTGGGTGTTCAATTTAATTTATCACACAGAACATCCATTCGACTTAGATGTTTTATATATGAATGTCTGAAATTGGGTAAACACATGTATTGTATGACTATATCATATACATCTGCATGAGTGTAGTATCTGTTGTTTATCATTGGGTAGTTTATTCACGTGGGTCGGACCTCGTGAAATCTGAGGCGTGACATAAGCTCCGACAAATCCTTAACAAAGAAGCCACCCACCGATATGGGTAGTTTAATGTGGCGAGTAGAACAGCATTGCAAGATCGAAGATGACATACAAGGGGTCAAAGAACTGAAACCTACCCGACTCCTGCCACGGGTTCTAAGAAAGGACAAGAAAAAGTCTTTTGATATCAAGACAGATAAATCAAACGCCATAGCTGAACAACCAAAAATCAGGAAGGAGGCTTTCCAAGCAATCGTCACCATTTTTACCGAGCCAATATAATGTTTGATAGTGAAAATCCAAAATGAACCCTACTTCTCTTGGCCTCCCAAGATGATCGGTGATCCACCTCTTCAAAATCGTAGGTTGCGGTGTTTCTACCACAAGGATTACGAACATCTTATGAAAGATTGCAAGGCATTGAAACAGTTTCTAGAAGAATTGGCACAAAACGGGCACCTACGATCTTATATCGATTCCTTCTCTGATCAGAAAAGGAAAGGAAGGGACACAGGTGGTGACGCACAACCAACGGCGACTATCAACATGATATATTCAGTTCCTGCAAAAATGCAGGCAAGCCAAAAAAAGGAAGAAATAAGAATGTCAGTACCTCACAAGGAAGTAATGGCTTTATTAGGAGCCTTCACTAAAAAAATGTGTTCTTCCAAATTGAGGATCGCATTCTCTGACAAAGACCTGACATGGGTTCATCATCCCCACAATGATGTTCTAGTGATAACCCTGTAGATCGGGGAATTCATTGTTAAGAGAATATTGATAGATCAAGGGAGTTTTGCAGAAATTATGTAGTATAGGCTCTTCAAGAAGCCTTACTGGCAGTTGATTTACTACTCTACAGTTTCAATTCAAGTCTGGTTTTCCCTTGGAATTTTTTTTTTTTAACCTATAAAAGCCGGAGCAAAAGTCTAGCAAGTCGAATTCTAAGTAGTTAATGTGCAGTCCCAATATAACACCATAATAGAAAGGGCATGGCTACATCAAATGGGGGCCGTCCCATCCACTTTTCACTAAGTCATACACTTCCCAGAAGGAGATATCATAAGGACAATAAAAGGAGATCAGACAATAGCAAAAAGATGCATGGCAATATCAACCGCAAGGCCAAGAGTACAAGAAGTTCAGGCATGTGAATCAAAAGAAGAGGAGATTAACCCCCAACCTAGCGACAAAAGTGTAAAAGAACTCAAAAAAATACAAATCGACCATGCAGATGTGGAAAGATTCTTCCTCGTAGGAAAGAGTCTTACCATAGAAGAAAAGAGGCAATTGGTTGAATTTTTACTTCACTACAAGGATGTTTTTGCATGGACCCCATATGAAATGGAAGGAATCAATCCAAGGGTGATGTGCTACAAGCTCAACGTGAATCCAGACTCACAGTCAGTGATACAGAAAAGTAGAAGATCGGCACCACAACACGTGGAAGCCGTAAAAGAGGAAGTTGCAAAATTGCTCGAAGCAGGAGCCATTCGCGAAGTCCAATACCCAAAGTAGTTGTCTAACACTGTTGGGAAGTGGAGAGTTTGTGTGGATTTCACCGATCTAAATAAGGCATGCCTCAATGACAGTTTTCCCTGCCCAAAATTGACCAGCTAGTAGACGTGACATCCAAGCACAAGAGGATGAGTTTCCTAGACATACAGAGGATATCACCAGATAGCTATGCACTTAGAGGACCAGGAGAAGACGTTCTTCATTGCCCCCATCAAACTATTCTGCTACAAGGTAATGTCATTCGGGTTGAAAAATACAAGGGCTATGTATCAACAGGTGGTTACGAAAATGTTCAATAAACTGATCGATCGAAATGTTGAAGTTTACATTGATAATTTGATGATCAAGTCAAGAGAGGCCAAGAATCATCCAGATGATCTCTAGGAAACATTTGGGGTATTTCAAAAATACAAGATGAAACTCAATGCGGCAAAATGTACCTTTGGGGTTAGGTCTGGAAAGTTCCTCAAATACATCATTACTCACCCGAGGAATAGAAGCCAACCCCGATCAGATTCAAGCGCTGCTCAATTTAATTCCTCCCACTTCCGTAAAAGGAATCCAGATATTGATAGGAATGACAGGGACACTTAACAGATTCATCAGTCGATCATTAGACCAATGCCAACTGTTCTTCTAGTTGATAAAAAAGAAATATCGGTTTGAGTGGACTCCAGAGTGCAATCTCACGTGACAAGAATTGAAAGCCTACTTGGCCAAACCACCCCTGCTCACAAGCCCCGAAATTAGAGAAAAGTTGTATGTATACTTAGCTATATCCGATCATGCTATAAGTTCAACACTCGTCAGGGCATCTTCGAATAGGAAAACACGGGATTTTAGTCATGTTTGCATTTCTGTGGCAGGTTTTAAGGATAACTTTCACTATGACTTGTGTTCATATCATATTTCCTTCTTTTAGACAGTTTTGTCCACTGGTTCTTTTCTATGTCATATAACATGACTAAAGAGGAGAATAGGATGGATGATATGATGAAATTGCTTATATTTGCTTTTCCAGGTGCATTTGTTGGATGCTCGCTTGAAGGGAGTGTTGTCACCACTTGCACCCAAAAAAATTCCAAATTCTACAATAATTCATCCATCAGGGCATCGGATATTCTTCTTGGATTGTTGCCTCGGCCTCCTGCGGCTGCCATTCTCTATCATGCACTGTCAGATTTGTACTAGAAATTTGAAAGGTGATCGATCAACTGTAGATTCTATGTCAACCTTTTCCATTTATGGTGAATTTATGTCTATTCTTTGTTCATTATGGAGAAACAATCAGTTACACGAGTGGTTGGGTTGTACATCATAAGTTCCAAAAGAAGAAGTGAGTTCCAAACTATATGTACTGAGTTGCCAGTGATGGAAACTTACCTGATTGTACATAATTTACATGCCAAACTATAGAAAATTCATTGCTGGGAAGAAACGTTTATATATATATATATTGAAATGATGATTTTCAACTGATTTGTATATGAATCATTTACTGGGGGAAACTCTCTCTCTCTCTCTCTCTCTCTCTCTTAACTTTGTGGAGCACTGTGTTCTTGGCAAATAGTTGCGAAGACCTGGTTAGCACGACCCCCTTTGAGAGGAACACCCCGTCTCACGAAGCTATGAGGCTATTTTGATGTGTTCCTTAAAGAGAATTGTCTCGCGTTGTAGGTATTTCTACCTAGTTCTGTGCCATAAGGTCAATGAAGTAACTTACTGGGTAACCAAACCAAGTTGGTGGTTATAACTATAACTATCCTAAGGTAGTAAAATTCCAGGTGATGCTATGGTACATTTGGATGTACCATACATTAGTTATGAGATTATGTGGTTTGATATCATAACTAATATCATATAAATCATAACTATTCTCATATTAACTCATAACTTAGTTATATTTAGTTATTTATATATACCATATTATCTTATAACTATCATAAAACTAAATTATTTTAATAATTTAATTTTGAATTGGCAACCGGTCTAACCGGTTGCCAAAATCAGAAGTCCAACGGTCCCAAGTCAGTTGCCTCCCTCTCTTGCTCTGGTTTGTGCTCTTGATCTTCTCTTCTCCTCCCTCATCTCTTTCACCATAGCCGAAGCTGCAGAGATTGTTGAAGTCCAACGGTCAAGCGTTGGGGCCACCGTTCTTCACCTTTCTCTTCTCTTCCACCATAGCCTCTCTCGCTTGCTCTTCACCTTTCTCTTCTCTTCCACCATAGCGAGAGAAGAACGATTGGCCTCCCTCTCTCTCTTGCTCTTCACCTATCTTTTCTCTTCCACCATAGCCGAAGCTTCCGCCATGGCCAAAGACCACCAGCCCGTCGGCGATCCACGCCACCGTTGTCTACATCTTCTTCACAAGCCCTCACTCTGTTCACGTCTCCACCATGGGTTTGTCAGCAAATATTTTCCCTTCTAGTCGAATTGAATATTTACGAGAGCTCTCTTCTGTAGGTCAGGTATGTTCCTATTTGCAGCCACCAAAGATAGCTGTGCCATTGGGGCTTTGATTTCAAAACCCTAACCCTTATTGAATATCTAATATTAAGGTTTGTTCTCAGTCAAAATTAACATCTGTAACCACCCAAGATTGGGCTTTGATTTCAAAACCCTAACCCTAAAAAGTGAATAGCTGATGATATTAAGTTTTGTTCACATTCAAAATTAACATCGGTTCTCAATCATATTGGCATTTGTTTAATTGCTTTCTCTTTGCTATAGCATTATGCGTCTACATGCTGATTAAACACACAGGCGACCCAGCTCAAGCTTTTTTGAGAAAATCTAAAAGTGTACCTAAGGAGAAAAATCTAAACGAGTTTTTTTTACAATATAAATTTTTTATATAAAATAAATTTTCTCTATTTTTAAGCTACAAAATTACTTTTAAATTTTAGTTTTTTTTTTATTTTTTTATAAAGTTGGCAGATCCAAATTTTTATTAGACACAAGTAAAATAAAAAATCTAAACATATAAAACAAACACTAATTTTAACATAATAATGTGTAAAAGAAAATTTATAATAAAATAATATAATCTAATTGGTGTTTTTACTTATCTTAAGATGATCTGTGGACCGAGCTTGAATGGTGTTGTTTGATAGAATAAGTTATCAGGGTCTTGTTTTGATCATATGATTTTTTTTATGAAAACCAATAGATATGTAAGAAATTGTAGGCCTTGTTTGAGTTTCTGATTAATATGTTAGAATCAAAAGAGCCTTCTTGGATTGTTTAGTACTTCCTGATATGAAATTTTGGATTTGAAAGTTGTGTGCAAGATTAGTGTGATATGGGAAAACCCAACTCATCTTAACACTCTTGTTCAAATTAGAGTTTTATCAAAATTTTCCAAAAAATATAAATAATTTTTTTTTTAACACTCTTGTTCAAATTAGAGTTTTATCAAAAATTTTCAAAAAATATGAATAAATTTTTTTTTTTTGATGAATTCTTTTCTTTCAACTTAGGCTAGTTGAAGACAGGTGCAACCAATTTTCTTGATGAATTCTTCAAAAATTATTATCTAGAAAATCATTTCGTTGTGTGTATGTGTATTGTGATTTTATTGAACCCTTTGATAATGATAATCTTGAACATTGTTTACAGATTCAATGATAATACTTCTTGTTTACCCATTTTTTGGTTTACTGGAAACTTACTTTCCTATGAGAAATGTTACTTTCTCATATTTGTATATTTAAGATATACATATATATATGTATGCGCGCGCACACACACAGGGGTGACCATTGGTTCAATGGTAAAAATCTTAGCCTAATAACCTTGAAGTTATGAGTTTAAGTCTCGAGGTAGCCACTCTGTGTACTATGTCAAAGGTTAGGTGTGTATCCAATCTTTTCCTTCCCCAACACATGTTAATGTGTACTATTTGGGCATTGTTTATATATATACACACACATAGAGATAGCATATCATATGCATATAGGTATGTATATATGCATACATATAATCTACCCTTATACCCATTAGTTTTCTTGATTGTTTGTATCGATCTTTAGACCTTGAAATCATATAGTTAATAAATTAGTAATTATATCTCTTGTATTAATTTTTTTTTTTTTTTACCAATTTTAGATTTATGGTGAATCTGTAGCGCCTAATTAGGTAGCATAATGGGGAAATGAGGAGTGGTACCTGGAGGACCCAAAACTAATAGCCCTTAGTAAATTGTTTTGTGTTACCTACTCTTCAGGGAAACATTATTTGACCTTCTCTCTTGACTTCTAAGTTAAAGTTGCTTTTAAATAGCAACTTTTGTGGTAGTATGCCATTTGTTATTTCTTTTGTTTTCAACTATTCTTATTGAAATGTTAGTACCTATGACTCATCAATTATGCCAATAGGCCATTGACAGAACTTACCCATGCTTTGGAAGTTTGGTAGTGATTGCAATTGCAAATTAAAACCTTTCAATAGGTATGGCAAGAATTGGAAAATATGTCTGCATCACTTGCATGTTCTATTCATTTGTGCTATTGCAGATTTTGTGCTTTTTTCTTACAGAAAACATGTTGTTATTGTTTGATTATTGAAAGAACAAGGTAAAAATTGACTTATAACATAGTCTAATTATTTGAAGATGGTATAGAGCATCTTGGATGTGGACTAATGGGAATTTGTGCTCCAATTCAACATTCTAGTGTAAGTTGTAGAAATGTTTTATTTTAATTTTTAGTCAAAGCCTTTTGGATTCCATTTTAAAATCATATTTTGTATGCATTGAACGTTGAAAGCATATGGCCTGAAGTTAACAACCACAAACCTCTAGTGGCCCCTTGGGAGACTCGAACTTGAGACCTTGGATCTTATTCTTATGTCTTTACCACTCGGTCCCTTGGGGTTAAATCTTGATGAGACTAATACTATTGAATGTGAAAAATTGATGCATTTTATGTCTGGTTTGTGCCTTTAGAAGCTTTTAAGAGCATACCATGCGATTATGCCATGAAGTCAAAACTCCCTTATTATGTGATTTGGATATTGTTGCTTCAAATTGGGTATAGTATCGGTGGTTGATGCTCTATGTTACATAAAAACACCATTTTAGCATTAGAAACAAAAACAAAAGAGCATTAAGTAATATCACATTTAGCTGTGTCCCTCATTTCTTAAATTTGGAAATAGATAAATCCGATTTTAGGCACATACACACCTCTGACATCCATACGCAAGTTATTGGAACATGGCATGCAGAAAATATGAAAGCTGAACTATAATTGGGAATGAACTTAAAATGAAATCTGTAATTTATGCAGCTGTATTTATCATAATCAATTCAAGGAAATGGATCCATGTAGCTTACACTAAAGTAACTGGGATTTGGGATAAAGCCTTGTTGAGTTGAGTTGAGTTGAGCTATGACACGATGGTCATTGTCATATTGTTCAAATTTTTTATTGATTGAATTTTATTGCAACCTTGCTGAAACAATTTTAGTGCAACATGCACATCTAGTATCAAATACAAAGTACTAGCAAGATTGATGAGCATTGGCCATTCCATACTGTTATGGTGAAATCGTATGGTCGTGCAGTCATCTTCTGGCTATTAAAAAGTTTCTTCTTGATATAACATCTGTTACTGATTTCATGGATGGAAAAACTGCAGCTTGTTTGGTATTATTGGTGTTACTGATAAGTGCTTGGAGGCCCTGTCAAGGTTCTGCTCAAACACACTTACAACCTTCGATGTGAATGGATGCATTGGCATCAAGGTATATCATATCACATTTTTTCTTATATACATGTACCAAGAGCATTTTTCTTTCAATCATCAACCATCTTCTTAGTTTGTAATATTTTGTTGAACAAATCAGTCAACCTAACTACTTTTACACCACTCAAATTCTTCTAAGTCACCATAGGAATTCCATTAGATTTGTTGTTTTTTATAGCTTTTCCTATTTTGGTTTTCAATTTGATTTGCTTGGGGTTTGCCACTTTTGACATTGGAGCAAGAGTTTAACTACGGCTTTGTGGGCTTTGTATTTTGCCCTTATTTATTTTTTTATTATTTTTTTTTTTCGTGTAACACACTAGTAGATTCTCCTGTTGTTTCTTTCTTTTTTTTCTTTCCTTTTGTTGATGTGTATATATTTCCCTCACAGAGACAAAGTCGTGAAGAACTGCTTCAGTTGTTCCCACATCTGAGATGCTTCAAAGTGCACAGCTAAAGTTATATGCTTTATGAAGTCATAATCATTTCCTGCCATCGACGTGAGTTTCTCTCCTCAAATATTTATATTTTCAAAATCATTAAACAAAACCACCACTAAACTACGAATAAAGAATTTATTAATGATCGTAACATCATTTATGTACGTGCTATAAACCCAGATCAATGTGGCTACTTGACAGACACAGAGCAGTTCATGTTTAAGAGAAACAATGTTACACTGACTAATCTTCTGAAGATTCCCAATCACTTCATTGGATTTATCTTTCTAGCTTGTTGAACAATTTCTCATTAACTTCATGGTTCATCAGCTCCTAGGAATCTTAAATGGCTAGTTTGGTCATTCACAGGCATTTAGAACACATTATGATGAACTCATTCCTCTGAAGTCCTTTTATGTTAAAATATATATTTTTTATTTTATGAAAGAGATATATCCATAGATTCACGAGCATCCCAGTCGGGGGCTTGTTCTTCAAGAATTTGTTGGGCAAGCATGTCCATTTCACAATCTGGTTAAGTGTGGTAACTTAATGGTCCCATTTAGTTTGGAACATCTAATCTATCATGCATAGATGCTAACTCTGGTTCACCAGGTTTCCAAGAGTTCATGGGACACAAAAGGGCCATTGAAATTCTGTGAAGTATATGGGATTGGACACATAACAGCCATTGGATGTGTTGTCTATTTCATGATATCTTGCATTTATAGCTTTCTGATCCTGGAACCTGTATTTTTGTTTTTATTTTATTTTTTATTTTGCAGGTACTTTTATTTATTTATTTATTTTATTTGTTCTGGCCATAATATTTAAAATTTTCCAATCTTCTCCTTGGTTGATGAGTAGTGGATATTTTGCAGGTTCATGGCGCTGTCTTGGAGAAATGTTGCCGATATGCAGTTAATTCATTAGGGACAGAAAATACTCAAGATGTTCAATAAACAGATGAGATTGATACACAAGATATTTGATAAACAGATGAGATTGATATATGACATGTGATTTGATAGATGTAACCTTACTAAATGAGCCGTCCTATTTTGGGTAGTTAATTATGAGAAGCGTATATTTTTTAATTATATGCAAGTAAAATTATAATCAAGGAAGCAGGGGAAATTAAAATATGCTCCTGTGACTATTGTGATGTTACCACTCTACAGTTATTTTTTAAGGTTACCACAAAGGTGGTTGAAGATGTTATTTTTTGTTGACAACAGAGTGATGGTTAATATTGTTGTTTCTATATTTGATTCTGAGATTTTCCTATGGAACTGTGGGTTGAGTTAGTTTTTTCTGAATTGCAAAGAGCTAAGAGGGCTTTGGGTGACACTATTGCCAGGGTAATGGCAACTGTTACAAGGTCAATGCACAACAATGGGAACTATTGCAACACTGTGAATCTCGAGGATGCTGCTTTGTACAAGGGCCGACTTGAGAGATTCTTCATGGACCTGCGTGCTGATCTACAATCTCCAATGCTACCCATTATTCAGGTACATATTATCGAAGCCCGATTTGGATTCCAATTCATGTCATATGAAATCTTTTTGAATAATCTGGGTTGGATTGGAACTCATTTAATCAACTGCTTCAAAAGTTTGAAATTGATTTTTGGTTATATGGGGTAGGTGGCATTGGAATCAGGACAGGGACCTTATATTGAGAAAGTGAGAGAAGCTCAATTGGGAATACATCTTGCCCTAGTAAAATGTGTGGATGCTAGGGGACTGCAGCTGGAACCAGATCATCTACATCTTGCCCATTTTTTTTTTTTTTAACCTCGTGTTTAGATATTTGAACTTCATAGTTGAAGAGGATATCAGTTGATTGTACTAACTTATTAATTAGGGCCAAAATATTGGCTAAAGAGTATATCATGCAATGAAATTTTGTCCAGTAAAGTCTAATTGTTGCGGTGGTGATTAGTAGTTTTGTTGTTAGTAGTTTTGTTGCGGTGGTGATTCACATTTCTTTTCAATTTGTTGTCCCGAAGTCCTAAATAAAATTACTGCATTTACATGCATAGAACCCCGTTAAAGAACATTCACAAGAGGTGGGGTCTTAATGTGAGACTTCCCTTTTGTTCACCGATTTCTATGCACATTTTTTCCTTTTTTTAATAAAATTTTCCAGAGGCAATGGTGAGTAATGAATTCCAGCTCACAAACTAGCAATGTTATAGCAGGTCCAGCAATATAATGCTCATCCACCTCAATGATTAGAATAGAGAAAGGAACAGCTCTCCAACTTCAATTAATTTTTACTGTATTAGATAGTGACTTGGCACCAACCCAATCATCCAGCCAAAGATTGGGAATAAAGAATTCTGCACATTTCCAGCCCAATTTGATTTTAATTCCTTTTTCTTGACCATGTACGCTGAGTTTGGTTAAGAGATTTGAGAAAGAATTTAGAAAGAAAAAGAAAAATAATGTGTGAAACTAAATAAAATATAATCATGTTTTATTCACATTTCATTTACTTTTTTAATTTCTCTTTCCAAATCCCTTCTTAAATCCCTCAACCAAACACAGCAGTAAACTTTTTTTTTTTTTTTTGGCAGCAGCTTACAAGGTTCCCTACATCTGTTATACCAATGTTGCTGTTTAAAAATTGCCAGTAGTTTAACAACTGTTTCAATTCTTTTCTTCCTTTTTTTTTTTAACTTCTAATCTGGGTTAAATAAAATTACAATTTCAATCAAAGTGTAGATCAAACAATTCAACAACATTACATCAAATACAGAAATGGTTAGCATTTTCTACCAAAAACCGAAAGGGCAAAAATAATCACCATTATGCCGTGAAAACAAGAGTTCACTGTTTCATTTATGGTAAAGACGACATAAAACAGAATGTCAAATGGATGAAACAGAAGCTGTATAAGAACCAGTACTGTACTTCAAACCTTTTAGAAAGGCAGAACGCAAGTGAAGAGAAAAAATGGTGTTTGAAATACCAAAAACGCATCTACTTTCTTGCAAGCCTTCAACTGCTGTGGGTTGATGAGGATTCACTTTTTGGCAAATGGTCTCGAAGCCAACATTCAACCCAGTTGTGGTAGATTCCGTAACAAAACTGCACATCACCAAAACTAATGCATAAGCCACCAAGTAAATACAAAATAATAGCTATGTAGTAATGCCAACACCCTTTAGAAAAATACAAAATAAATTCTAGAAAGCAATGTTATGATAAGGTTGAAATCTGCCTGCATTGGCTCATGTACACCACCATCATAGGATAGGCTACATATCATTAATCCCTGAAAGAAGCATTGTGAAAGGGGACTTAGTCCATTCTTATGTATTAGCGTACACATTTCACGCATTACGATTTTTCCAAGCATATTGATTGTTCATCACGAGGCTTTTAATTGTTTTCTCAAGAAAATGCCATGTAATCGAGTAAGAGTGAATTCTAACCCTTTGATGATAAGTTGCACCTTTAATTGTATGTGATAGGGCATTGTGAGCTTACCACAGGCTAGGCTGTACCTTTGTGCCATGTGTCCCAAACCTATGTCTATATGACATCCCATTAGAGGGCACTAACCCTTTAGTGGAGTCAGTTACATTATGGTTTCTCAATTCCATAACCAACCTATTATAGCAAAGATATAGAGAGAGGGAGACGGTGAGAGTTGATCAGCCAAAATATGGAGAAGGAAACACATGCAAATGCAACCCTAGAGAGATACCCCGTGAACAATCCAGGAACCATCAATTACAACCACTAACAACTATATTTTTTGCTGGGGACTACCATACTTCATGATCAACACAAATAAAACATTAATCTTAGAAATCAAGTGGGATTTTGTTGAAATATCTGATGGACCCAAGTATTGCCCACTTAGAATGCCACCCATTCTAGAGACTTCAATTAGATATTTACTTCTTTTCTGATGAATCGAATTTAGAATCATAATGGATCAGAAAACAAAAACAAAAAAATGCAAAAAGAACAGCAAAACTTTATAAAGGCAAGATTTTTTCAGCAACGACATAAAGATCCGTCTTCAATATGGTCCACAAAGTGAAAATTTATGTATCAGTGTCAGAATTTTTCATACCTTGCCTCAAAGCTCATTCCCTCAGAGCACATGGCTTCACAAAAACTGCTGATTACCCATGGAGGAAGATATGCATCCTTGATTTCAATGCTATAGCAGAAACCAGAAGATGAAGATTCATCTTTCATGTTGAATTCCTTTAGAGGAAAAGATATATTATCAGCCCTTCTCACTTCCTTGCATCTAACCTACAAAAGAAGGCAAACAAACATGTATTAGCAGGATTATGTTTTTTGTATAACAATTGTGGCACAATCCAAGTTGTAAGAAGAACAACAATCAATCTAGTTTTAACAACATAAGATTCATGGCCAAGAATGAAATAGCATACAGTAAAAGAAGTATATTTAAATAAGGATATGCTATAATTTCTAACTTATCTAATAGGATAAATCAAAAGTAAATGTGATGTTTGTAAGGGTCTTTACCCAGTTTCATGTGAAGCAACTTCGGCTTTTGGTAGTAAGTTTATACTTCTATTTTTATTTTATTTTTAATTGTTTTTTTTTTTTAAAGTGGTTTAGCTAGTTCACAAACTAGCATAGACACAGTTTTGCTAGTCCCCTACACAAACAAGGCAGATTCTAGGTTATGGATTTTGGATTCTATCAGAGAAATTGCATCTTGTTCCTAATAGATCAGGCAGTAAGCACGCACAGTGTTACTTTCAACTCTAGGCAACAAAAATGAGACATTAAGACTCTTCAGAGAAAAGAGAGTTTGAGGACCTCTAAAAGTTAATAGAAATCCACATTACTAATTCAAAAAGGAACTGAAAATTCCCTTCGTCATTTAATTTTCAAAGAAGAAAGCTTCAATTGCCTAGTGCATCCAGCAAAAACTAATAAATTTGCAGTTAACCAATTATAAAATTTCCATAGCATGATGGTGTAATATAACAAAATTTGAGTAATACTATGGAAGACAAAGCAAAGCCAATTCCAATTGAGTGGATAGAAATAGCAAAGATTCAAAAAGCTTGTTTACCAATGCACATACTAAGCAGCCCTACCTCTGGACAAGAAAGGGCAGCGTTTTGAAATGGTACTGGTGAATATAATACAGGAACATCCATACTAGTCAAAGAGGTTAATAAAAATCTAGAAAAATGGCAGCCAAAAAAGATGAAATTAGAATCCAGTGATAGAATTAAATAGAAAAAAAAATTCTTTAATATATAAAAAAATGTAAATAATATAAAGGTCAAGTTTTCTCCCTTTCTTTCAGTTTAAAGGGTACTGAAGACATATGTGTTGTAATCAGACATGATATTTATATACCCACCTATAATTTAATAGAAAATCATATAACCCATGCACATTCTGATTTCCATTGAATGCGAGCAAAGATTGTGGGCTATTATCTACGTTAGACATAGAACTCTGGCGATGAATCTGCATTAAAGATAGGATGGCACCAATTAATGATAAAGCACAAGAAAGAACTTAAGAAGCAGCATGGTAGGTAAAAACCATTGAAATGGCACTAATGTTTGTACAAGAACACTCCAGCTAGCCAGTAGGATTGTCATGTCTCTGCTAAACATCAGTTGTGCTCCCAACTACTCCCACTAAGAAAACCCTCATCAAATGTTGCAATGACAGAGATAAACATCACATGAGCTATGAAAGCATTTTAGAACTGCACTTCGCATTCTACCTAACTGACAAAAGTTGTTACAAATAAAAGGATAAATAAAGACCACCAGCAAGAGCAGTTGGAACTTGGAACAGAAGGCCTTAGTAATTGATGCCCTACAGAGGTGATGTGATTTAAAAAATCTCACACACACTCTTCCGAAGCATGTAGGTCAACGCTGATATTACAAAACGTTACTATTCTGGCTGCAAACCTCATTCTGCTGAAGATAAGGTCAACGCTGATATTATAGGTCAACGATCATAACATCCTACTCGTAACAATTTGTATGTGAATTAACATTTTTGAGAAGTATATACAAAATGAGTCTAAATTATACCAAAACAAAGAAATTAAAAAAAAAAATTTGTTAAAAATATAAAGAACCGTGTTTTATAAGAAATATACAACAGAAAACTCAGTAGGAAAAACATTGCATTTCATTAAAAATTAAAAACAAAAGAGAGATGGAGATGCACTGCTTTGAAACTAAGCAATTTTGTGTTCAAGTAGAAATTCATAAAAAGAAAAGTAAGAAAAAATAAATAGAGATAGATTTGGGAAAGTAGATTGAACACACACACACACACACACACAGAGAGTTCTGAAACACCTTAGAAGAAAAAATTGAACAAGAGCATTGTACTCGGTGTGCAATTAAGATTTTAAAAAGAAGAAAAGAAAACATAATTTTTATAAATTAAAAAAAAAGGGCTCTCTAAGACATCAAAAAGTATGAGACAGAAGATAAATTGATATTAGGTTATTTGATTCAGTAATACTACAATACAAATCTAGACTTAACTGTCCAAAATTGTCATCTTGTGATTTAAAATTATTCTACATATCAACTCCACATTACACAAATTTAATCTCAACTAGATAACTCTCATTCAGGATAAATAGAGGTACTTAAGTGGGTTTCATAGCATTTTTCTATTTGATTAAATGGGAGAAGAAAAAAAAAAGAAGGAAAAGGCAGTAGTCAAATGATACATATGCAATGAGGGAGATATATGACAACGTATAACTGGAGAGAAAAATTTCTCCTAGCAGAGAGGGAGATACTCAAATTACAATAATGTACATTCAACATTTTCAAACTCCAACAATATTTGAATCTCTATCGGCTTAATATGTATTTCTTATCCTATTCAATCCAACATGACCTATTAATGTTCAGTTTGGACATAAGTGTAAAATGTGTATTTTAAGCCACAAACAAAAATATACAAACAAAAATTCACATACAAAGGCAAGAATTAACAAACCGGTGTCTTGTAATGAGGATAAGCTCCCCAATTTATTGTAATTGTCTTCGTCCGCACACTACAATGGCAAGAATTAACAAACCATCAAACATTTTGAACTTCTGATAAATTCAGTTATCTAATTGGTCTATGAAAATCAATGAAATTCAGCTAATTGGGCACTCTATATATTATGTGATGCTTGCTCACATCTTCAAACTATCAAGTTTAGGTTTTCCACTTATAACAGTTCCTTTTAAAACTTCAGGATTTGTAATTGGGACATTAGCACATATTAAATAAATCTTCCCACAACACAAAGAAACTACTAAAATGAAAAAAAGTAATAGATCAGTCTTTCCTGCAATAATTAAATGAGATTTACGGCTTACTTAAAAATGCGATCCAGCAATGCATCTGCTACTGGTTCACGAGAGAATATCTTGTAGCTCATATCATTCTCACCATGTTGTTTGAGAACAGAAATGCTTGTGAATGGAAGATCAGAATTCTCTACAGTACCCACCAGTTCTAGAATTGCTGATGCAGAATGCAGGCCAAAATATGCCTTGGCCACAGCAAACCATCAATATTTAGCAAATTGAAAGATGATATGCAGTAGGGGGAAAACAGTGTAACTAAGCATACGAGTAATGAATTTTTGAATGCTACAAGTAACTGTTAGAATACTAACTGGATTCAAGAATCCCCTCACAAAAGTTGCATGGGTATGTTGTAACTGCCTATTAGGAATTAAAAATGTAGGCGTAAAGTTGAGAAGGCCGACGCTGCTGCTACTCCGACGCTGCTCCTCCGCCGCTTGACGTCGATCGATCGATCGATCGAGAGAGAGAGAGAGAGAGAGAGAGAGGGGTAAGAAGAGATTTTTGGGTTTGAGATTGGGGATTATTTTTTTTTATTTTTTTTGGGGGGGGGGATGGAAAAAAGAAGGAAGGGGCAGCGGGAATAGAAAAAAAAGGGGGGTGGAATCAAAAATAAAAAAATAAATTTTTTTTTTTAGCCACAAATGAAATTTAAATAATAAAATAATGTCGTGTTATTTTTTTTATTTTATTTTTTTTTCTGGCGGAGTTGTCGCCGTCAAAAAAATTATTTTTTTGTTAAAATATATATTTTTTGTAGTTAATGAATTTTTTTTAAAAAAATATTATTATTTTTTATTTGGTAGAAGTATGGCTAATATTTTAATGAAAAATATTTTCCACTAAAATAAAAATTAATTTTTTGTAGTCAATGAAAAATATTTTTCTACGGCCTATTTTTTTTTTATTACTAAAAATCATGAACTAATTTTTTGTGGTAGAGGAAAGGGAACGGCAGTAGTGGTGAAGGTGGTGAATAAGAGATGATGGTGATGGTGAACTAATTTTTAAAATCAAGTTTTTTTTTAAAAACAAAATGTAAAATTATTGGTGACAAAAATATATTCCTCACTAATAGTTTTATAATTAGTGACAAATTTTTTTCTCACCAAAAGTCGCAAAATTTTGGCGCCACCAAAAAAATTTGGCGGAAAAGACTTCAATGACGCAACTTAATTTTTTCTCACCTAAAAAGAAGTATTTATTGACACAAATAAATTTCATCACCTATTATTTTTATTTTTTTATTATATGTGACAAAATTTTATAATTCGTCACAAATTGTTCTTATTTAGTGACAAAATTTATTTTCTTCACTACTTTTTGTCACCATAGGTTACTTTTGTTATAGTGAAAACAGTGTAACTAAACATATGAGTAATGAATTTTTGAATACTACAACTGTTAGAATACTCACTGGATTCAAGAATCCCTTCACAAAAGTTGCATGGGCATGTTGTAACTGCCTATTAGGAATTAAAAATGTAGGCGTAAAGTTGAGGAGACCGACGCTGCTGCTGCTCCAACGCTGCTCCTCCGCCGCTCGACGTCGATCGATCGAGAGAGAGAGAGGGGGGGTAAGAAGAGATTAGGGATTTTTGGGTTTGAGATTGGGGATTTTAAAGGAAGGGAGGAGCGGGAATGGAAAAAAAAAAGGGGGCGGGAATAAAAAATAAAAAAAAATATATTTTTTTTAATCACAAATGAAATTTAAATAATAAAATAACGTCGTTTAATTTAATTTAATTTTTTTTGCAGCGGGGGTTGTCGTCATCAAAAAAATTTATTTTTTGTTAAAAAATATATTTTTTTGTAGTTAATGAATTTTTTTTTAAAAATATTATTATTATTTATTTGGTAGAAGTAGGGGTAATATTTTAATGAAAAATATTTTTCACTAAAATAAAAGTTAATTTTTTGTAGTCAATGAAAAATATTTTTCTGCGGCCTATTTTTTTTTTTGTTACTAAAAATCATGAACTAATTTTTTGTGGTAGAGGAAAGGAAGCGGCAATAGTGGTGAAGATGGTGGATAAAAGATGATGGTGATGGTGATGGTGATGGTGATGGTCATGGTCATGGTGAAAGAGATTAGTAGTGAAGTTGTGGTAGTGGTAGTGTAAATGGAGTGACAAGGGTGAAGGAGAGGTAATGGTAGTAGTAGTGGCAGTAGTGGTAGTGGTGGTAATGAAGTGGTAGCGATGGCAGTAATAATGGTAGTCGTAGAGGTGAAGTGGCGACTGTGGAAGTAGTGGTGGTGGTAGAATAGCGTTTGTAGTAGTGGTGAAGGTGGTAGAGGAGATGGGTGGTGAGAGAGATAAATAAGTGAGAGACAGATAGAGGAGAGAGAGAGAGACAGAGTGATAAGCGAGAGAGAGAGAAAGAACGCAAACACAGTGGGAGAGAGAGAGAAAACGCAAACAGAGAAAACGGGAGTGAGAGAGTGAACAACGCAAACACAATGGGAGAGAGAGAGAGAGAAAGAAAAAGAGAGAGAGTGAGAGACAAAAAAGAGACATAGAGAGAAGAGAGATGAGCGAGAAAGACATAAAGAGAAGAGAGATGAATGAGAGAGACAGAGAGAAAGATAGAGAGAAGAGAGATGAGCGAGAGAGATAAAAAGAAGAGAGATGAGCGAAAGAGACAGAGAGAGAAAAGAGATGAGAGAAGAGATAGATGAGTGAGAGACACAGAGAGAGACAGATAGACAGACAGACAGACAGAGAAGAGTGATGAGTAAGAGAGAGAAAGAGAAGAGAGAAATGAAGGAAGATAAAAAAATGGATGAAAAGATATAGACAAAGTGAGAGAGAGAGAGAGAGAAAAAAAACGAAAAGAGATAAACGAGAGAGAGAGAGATAAAGAGAGATGAGCGAGAGAGATAAAGAGAAGAGAGATGAGGAGATAAAGAGAAGAAAGATGGACGAGAGACACAGAGAGAAAGAGAGACAGACAGACAGAGAAGAGTGATGAATGATGAGTGAGAGAGAGAAAGAGAAGAGAGACAGAGACATAGAGAGAAAGAAAGAGACAGACAAACAAATAAGAGTGATGAGTGAGAGAAAGAGAGATAAGAGAGACAGAGACACATAGAGAAAGAGAGAGACAGATAGACAGACAGACAGACAGACAGAGAAGAGTTATGAGTGAGAGAGAGAAAGAGAAAAGAGACAGAGATAGAGAGATAGAAAGATGAAAAAATGGGTGAAAGGAGAAATGTTCAAAAGAGTAAAACGACGTCGTTTTTATTTTTTTTTGTAACAGAAAAATACCGTTGCATTTATTTAAACCATTTTATGACTATATATATATGAAGCCGTCTCAAAGCCACAATATATATATATTTTTTAAACTTTTTTTTTTTGCAACAGTACGTTTTACGATCGCACAAAACTTTTTCTTTTTTTTTTCGACTGCAGTTGGTACCGTCGCAAATACTTTTTTTTTTTTTGCGACAGCATTATGCCATTGCAAATACTCTATTTT